AAAACACCCCTATGTTGGGGTAGGATTTTTCTGCCCTATTTTGTCAGGAGCTAGGGTTTCACTACGCACACAGCGGTTTCAAACAACCTAAAATTAGGTAAGTAACCTGTCCTAGTTTGGAATAGTCACTATGGATTCCGATATGCACTAGGTCGAATGGTCAAAAGGGGTGCCCCGGTAAAAATCGGGATTTGTGTTCCCGTCGTGGCAGAGCCCGCAACCGGTCAGCCTTATGGCACGCTTTTCCAAGCAAGCCTCTGGCAAACCGTTCAGGAATAGCATACGGCAAACATGGTGTCCTAGGCGGACCAATGCAAATGCAATGCAAAGAGACACATAAGTGTAAACAAAAAAGATATCATGAGTTCGAGTTAAGTTCTCTAAATCCCTAGGGGAGTCGCCAGAAACTGTAGACACGCTCCCGGGAACTTTGCGATATCCGCACGCGCAGGGGCGCGAATTTCGTTTTGTTCTGAGCTATTACAATTCGGACTCATGTCACGGTTCTGAATCTAATCTCACAATGTGCGATGTAAGATCGATAAATCACCAAAGAGTCCAAATCCGACAAATCGTTTTGGGAAACTAATTTTAAATAAAGAAGTGTCAAACATGGACTGCTTTGCCAGATACAGAGTTGCCACCTAAATATTTTATTTTGGGAGAATTTAGGAAACCCTGACTCATGCCTAAGGCCACGTGTCCGTCATCACCAAAGTTACCTCGACTCGGGAACTTGGGTACGAGAGGGGAAGGTCATGCAATGAGCACCCCCGCTCGCCCGATCAAAAGATCGGCCTTTACTAAGCATGATATTTTGTTTTTGAAAACACATGTGTTCTTATTCCGTTTAATTAGCTAATCTTACTACGTGATGCGCATAGCATACAAGTACAGACTAGATCGCCTAATTTGGAACAAAAACATTGCATGTTCGTTTGTGAAAATGATTTGAAGTTTGCTACTCGCAAATAGGCTAAATCATGTTTCGATGAATTGTTCCAATTCAGGTAATCCAACCTTCACCCGTAGGCATTCAGGCAGTTAATCAAATAAACAATTAGCCTCATGGCAAGCATGCTTTCATGGTAACATTAACACACATGCAGTATGCTAAAGCGTAAACACTCACAGTGTACTCCAAGCCAAAACAAAGAACTAGTTAGAAATCATGCATGATCCTAGTTCATGTTAAGATGGCTAATACAACACATGCAAGAATGCGGCTAAAATAGGCTCGGCTGTTCTAGAATGTCATGTGAAATGCAACTTGGTAACATGTTGTTGAACACGTATTCAAGTAAATGTATCGAAAATACAATGCAGTTAGTATGATGCGCCGAGCCTGGTGCATGCAATACAGATGAATGGATGCACGCATGCAAGCATAAGGTATGCTAATCGAAATATGCCCTAAAACTAACCATCGTAAGCGGTTAAGTAAAAGGGAGAAAGAAATAGGGGTTGGAAGACATGCATCACACACACGCATGCTTATTACAATAATACGCCCTCTCGACGGAGGGACCGAATAAAAAAGCTAACTAGCTAATGTAAGCTAATTAAACTAATTATTACAAAACAAATTAATTAACTAATCCTAGTTAACTAATTATTACAAAACAAATTGAAATAGCTAAACGCATTAACTATTAAAGTACAAAAAGAATGCTTAATCTAGCTAAGTAAAGAAGCTAAATAAAGCAGTAAATAGAGGTGCCCTCAGAGGGAAGAATGGATGCATCCCTGGTCGCCTCGTTCGGAAATCCGTCGCGATGCCCTAACTTGCCTTTGTTTGCAATTGTTCTCAGAAACTTACACCAAGCTCCAGATAGCTTCTAATACGTTGCCATGCCTCATGTTGCCTCTGTTTGCACTGTTCTGCACCTCTGAAAACTGTACAAATCTCTGTGATGCTTCTGAACCACCTCATGGACACTCTAAGAGGCCATCGGCCAAGGGATAAGGGTTATCGACCATTTTTGAGTCCATCGGCCAAAAAATGTTAGCCGATCGGCACTCCAGATAGCCGATCCGCAATCTTCCTGCAAATTACTCATTTTACTGCAGCAGAGTACAAACAGAGGCATGGCAATACATTTGCAAGAAAATATTGTGCAACTATACCCCTTATCATGTTTGAAGCTCAAAGGAGTGTAGTGCTCGGCTCTCGAGCCATCAATCACGCATTCCGATGCATGATGGCCAAAGAGGCCGAGTCGCACAAATCAATATGGAATAAATGCACAAAAACACACAAATGTCTTAAACTTTAACATGTTGGATCAAGAGTGTTGGCGACCGAGAATTGAGGCACGTTTCACCATTTCAAGTATGAAACGTCCCTCGTTTCTCATGTTTGGACTAACACCTATTCCAAACAACAATGCAACATATAACATGGCATACACAATGCGACTCGAGCATGCAAACATGCAATATGACTTAAGCATGCAAACATGCAATGCAACATGAACAACCTAACAAGGCTAATGGCATGCAAACAATGCTAATGCATGCAGTACAATGAAATGCTACAAGGGCAACTTAGCAATGTTAGGAACATGCATACTCAATGCAAAGAAACAACTTGGCATACACAATGCAAATAACCACATGGCATGCACAATGCAATGTAAGATGGAATACTTAATGCAATGAACAATAAGCATGTGAACAACATATAAACAAGCATGCTAAATGGACTTAAACCAAAAGGGAGTAGACCTCAGTCATGCCCAAATCAGTGGCCATAAGGATGAAATTAAGGCACATAAAGCACATACAAGCATGCACATGCAATGGCCCATCAAAGAGGCCAAAGAGCACCACTCTCAAGAGTGCTCAAAGAGTGACAAACATGGAAGTGTAACAACACCAAGTGCACTGAAATGAGGTAAGAAATGATGACAAATCATTCAAACGAAGCAAGTAAGGCAAGAAAAAGTCCTTAAGGCATGAAGCTAGTAAAGAGGACTACAAAGGAGGCATGCAATACATGGCACAAAAGCTTGAACCAATCATGGACCGAGCTCAAGTAGGTCAAAACAAAAACGTAAACATACTGAGATGAAGGCTCAAATGCCTAGGCAAGATGGCATACATGCTAGGCCACAAACTAAGCAACCATACTCGCCTTTAAAGGCACTTAAAGAGTGGATGAAGTGGGAATATAGCAATGATACATGCTCTGAAATAACATGATAAATGATGCCAAATCATATACATGATGCAAATGAACCATGCTATGGTGCTCAAAGCTTGAGGCCAGCAAGAGCACTTGTACTATAGCTATGCAAAACATGAAGCATATGGCAAAGGGAACCCAAAACACTCCGAGAACATGTTAAAATGAGTCTAAAACATGTATAGAAGGAAGCCAAAACATGCTAGCATGGAGGGTCAAAACAACAAGCATTCAAGGCAAATAAGGTGGATTACACTACACCTATTAAGACCAAGGATGGAATGACTTAAGAAACAAAAATTAGAGTTATATCATGGCATAATAACTCCAAAAAATATATTAAAATTAGAGCTCGCAAGTTTAGGCATGAAGGCATACGCAATGACCCATGTTAAGGCTTAAAGGGGTCAACCCTCCAACGCATTGAATAAGTGATAAATGCAAGTACATGAGCATGAAACATGGATTGAAATCACATTATAAATGATTCCAAATCATTTAAATAAGCCAAGCAACGCATGCTAGTGGACTTGATACACAAAGCTAAAAAGCTAGAATGCACTATGGCTATACAAAGCATGGCATGCATGGCCAAAACAAAAAAAAAAATCAAAGCTAAAGCATGTTAAAACATGGACAAAATCTTCTTGAAGTTAAGCCAAAAGCATGCTAGAATGACATGTTAAAGCATGATGCATGTTAGGCTAATACATGGAAATGCACTACAAGTGCATGGAGCATGCAAAGGCCAACCAAACCAAACCCTAACAGAGGTATGAAATGGTGACATAAGCCCAAGAACATGCTGAAATGGACCCAAAACAAGCTAGAATGACATGCCACTTCATGAAGCAAACAAGACTAGTGTGTGTGATTTACACTACAAGTGTATAAACCATGCATGAAGTGACCGAACCAAGCAAAAACAGTGACATGCCTTAGCAAAATAAGCCCAAATATAAGCTAAGATATGGCCAACATAAACTTAACAAACATGCTCACATATGAGGCATTCAAGACAAGTATTGAAAATAAAAGAAGAGGGGACGACCTTCTCCTCTTTAGGACCCTAAAACCACCATTCCACCACTAAAAATCCTCTGGATTTCAGTGGTAAAAGGTCATGCAAAGGCTACACAAGAGCCTAAAGGGATGGCTCAAAACAAGGCCTAAGGGGGGGTGGATCACCCCCAACGAAAAAGTGATCTTAAACAAACTTTTTAAGCATGCAAAAATAGAAATTTTTCCAGTTAAGAGTTAAGCTTAAAACAGCATGCAAGTTGGGGCTAAAATCTTAAGCAAAAATGGGGGTTTTAAGGGTTAGAAACTCACCCTTGATGACCCTCTTCAAGGCTGCAACTCCAACAGGTTTTTCAAGCTCAAACCAACCCAAGAACACCGAAACCAACTCCTAAGCATCTCAGCAACCAAAGGATGGTGTTTGAGTGTGTGTTTGTGTGTTAAAGTAAAACAAAATGACACTTTAAGGCACAAAAGTGAAGAAGAAGAGCAATATAGAGACAAAGCTGTATGTATGTAGCGACCCTAATTTTCTTAAGTCATTATTTTATTATTATTATGGTTATGATTATCTTATTTTATTGTTGGCTTTATTAATTGGGTGGTTACATGAGATTAGTGGGATATTTAAGGTTGTAATTAATAAATTTAATGTATCTATATTTAATCTTATATATATAGTAACATAGAAGTATTCAACTAGGTTGGAGAGATCAAAAGAAAAGAGAAGAAAGAAAACAAAAAACAAAAAAACGAGAGAGAGAGAGAGAAAGAGGAGAGGGAAGATGGTGAATGATGTGAATGCCCATTTTCTTATTAACAGTTGACCTTGAAATTGTCAACTAGCAAGATGAGTGGAGAGGTGCTTTATTTCTCATTTAACATAAAATTGAATTTATAACCAATTGTTGTCCACATTATTTATTATTTTAGCATAAGGCAATTTAGGCCATTTGAATAGTGAACAATGACCTAAATGGTTTGTTCTTGGTCTGGAATGGATAGCTGTGAACAATATTATAAAGAAAATATTGTGCAAATTAACAATATATATATATATATATATCAAGAAAAGAATGTTACTATTAAAAACACCCATCACTACCCTTCTTATTTTAAATTTTTTTTAAGCTTTTTTAATAATCAACAGAATTATAGAAGAGTTGTAGTGATCTTATTGTTACAGATTGTGCTTCTACACATTTACCTTACTTCACAAAAAAAGAAAAAAAAAAGATGTTGAAATTTTTTATTTAGTTTTGAGTTAACTATGTGATCAAAACAGGAAACATGATGTTAAGCAATAGTTTTGAAGCATAATGCTACAAACATAAATTCACTGTGGAAATAGAAAAATGCAAGTATGATGCGCACAAACCAGAGGGCTGTATGCAACAATCCCAATTCCTAGTTCTCTGCTTATATCAAAATAACAATGGCACAGATTAGGAAACACTGGATTCTTGTTTATTGCTTGCAAAACTGACTAGTTAACATAATAATAGTACCTCTACACCTCACCTGCAAGTAGGAATGATTTCTTCCTCTGCATCTCTTGTCCACCCACAAGGACCGCTCCAACTGCATTGCTGTTAGATGTATCTAGCTTCACACCCGACTCGTAAAACTTGAGGTCGTCATAACCCGACCTGTGAAATCTGCATCATATTACGTTGAATTTTAGGGAAGTTTGGTCTCAGTCTCTCTTTCTCTGCATTTCAGGTAGTCTTTTCTTCTGCAACTACTTTCTCTGTTGTTTATTGATTTGGATTTGTTTTTCAAAAGGTGCCCTTTATTGGTTGATTGGAATGGGGTTTTTTTAGCTTATTGTTTTTGTGTTTCTCTAGATTTTCTATTTGAGGTAATTTAACTTCACTGAATTTCAATGGAAAATGAACTTGGTGGCCGTTTGAACTCAATCTTGGAAATGAAATGTTCTTTTTTTTTGTTTGGCTGTTTTGCGATTCTGAATTGTGTAATCTCTCTTTCCTTTATTTGATTTTATACTTGACATGAACTTGACGGTTTAGTCTTCTGATATATATATATATATATATACTAGTGTATACCCGTGCCTAAAGGCACGGTGTAAATAATATTGGAATCGAAATATATTTGTAATTTGTATACGCATCATGCTAAAACATATAGAGTCTGTAACATTTTTTCTTCTTAAAGAACTTTTAATAATTTTGCGTGTATCATACCCCCTACAGAATTCAATTAAAAATAACAACTCCCCCTAATCTTAATGCAAATTAAGGAATAAACATATAAAATTTATAATGTTCATTAAAATTAAAATGGTAAACTAATGTTCTGCAATTATAATAAAATAAAATTACCCAAACAATGAACACCAGTTAGTATTTTGTAATTCTAAAAAATTAAAATTGGATACCAAACAATGCACGCCAGGGCTCTGCAATTCTAAAATAATTTAGTTAGAACAAAACAACAAACAATGCACACCAACCAATCATCTGTAATTTAAAACCAAACAACGAACAATAAACAATGCACACCAGTGCTTTCCAAATGTGAACGTAAGTTCAAATAGTCTTATGGGGCGTATTCATTTTGAAGCCCAACCTCCACTAAAGCCTTGTAAACGGTTTCATACATCATTTGCATTGTTTTGTTCTGTACAATAAATGAGAGATAATTTCAAAATCAAAAATTGATCCTTCTGAAGTATGTACACTGATGGGCAGATTAATAGAATTTTTTGATTTCCCATTGGAAATAAATTAATCCAATGAAAAAAAAAAAGCAACAAAGTTATCCATCTCTAAAGCTACCTTTAAAATGCAGAAGTACAATGCTATGCGTTGAAGTCATAATTGGTTCCTACCTGCCAAAATAAAATCCTTTGTGTAGCAGCACCTGTTGGATTGTCTTCTGGCTACATCAGAATAACAATACAGGCAAACCTCTCACATGCTCTGATTTTCTTAGCAATTTTAAGTGCAATTTCCATGGGAATCAAATTGTTCTCACCTGCAGCAAGAAAATATGCTCACAATTAGTATTCAGTAAAGGAATTTCAAGCATAGAAGCTCAAGAAAGCATCTATTTATTGTCATATCAAAGGCCACTTCACTCTCAACTAAAACACGATCTAGCAAATCAAAAGAACTACCTGATCCTATTAAACCCTCCACCGTAAGTAAACACACAGAAAAATCCTCAACCAATCTCCTTGTTTGCGACAACCAAGCAAGTTTCACTACCATCACATTGAAAGCTTATGTTGTTAGAGAAAGGAGTAACTTTATCAAGATGCATAGGTAACTTTATTATTTGTATCCTTAACACTTTCACTCACATGTGACCATGCTCTCATTCATTAACGGATAGAACACCAGTTATCCCAAAAGCTTAAATTATCAATAAATGAGCCCAATAATGTATGTTATGTTAACACTCAATAAATAGTGTTGAACCAATCAGCCCTTTTTTCTTTCATTCTTAGCTAAAACAATAGAGCCCTAATGCAAGGGCAATTGAACCCACAATTATTAAAAAAACATGAAGTTATCACCCCAACTAATTATTGAATAGGTCCTTAGAAAATCAATATTCTATAAGTCATTATTGAACCTCACCTCTGAAATTCATTAGACATTCCACCATAATCTCCTCCATATCCACCTTGATAAATGAGAGCTTGCTCGGCAAAAAGTGGCTCATAGTTTAGCATCCAAAATAATATGCTATAGTCTAGTACTTGCAGGGAAGCAATCGATGAAGCTATGTTGCCATCTTAGCCTTCAGTACATCATAATGTGTTCTAAACAAAAACATGCATTGAAACTATAAAAAGCTGGCGTTTTTAAATTAAGCAGTGAATCTAATCAATTCAAATCGAATAGTCCATGTAAATAAAACCTAGTAGCCTAATCGACTATACAGTGCCCATAATCACTTCAAGTAATTGTCTATATGCCTAAACACTTCATTCATGACTCCACTGTTTTACTAAATCCTTGGTGAATCTAGCTCAAGAAAACAAATAATTTAAAACACCTCTAATAGGTCAGATTTGTAGATTGCTGCCAATTTGTTTTCTTTAGTTTTTTTCTTAATTTGGATTAAAATTTAGCAGAGTGATGCTACATTACTGAGAGATTTAACTCACATGTGAGTTGCAAAATTCCTCTCTAATCCCCCTGTTTTTTCTTTTCTTTTCTTTTCTTTTGCTAGGCTAAGAAAATGCAAATTCAGGGAGGCCAAAGCTAACAGTAAATATCATATCTCTGGCAATGTTAAACAAAGGGATGAGATCAAAATCCAATTTGAACCATAAACTTCCTCAACCAGTGATTTAGTAGAAACACCAAATTCAACACTTAAACTGAACATGTTTCACTGTTTAGTGAATCCTACCAAACACAACTTTCCTTTCCTAGAATGCAGCAACAAAATTCACAAATTCTGAACCACAAAACAACACCCAAAATATTTAAAAGCAAAAAATTATCAAAACTTTCTTCTGGGTATTGTAGTAACCAATTGTTAAAACAAAACCCTCTACTGGGTTGCTGAGATTTCAATGTAACATTAAACTGTACTGTTCCTGTGATTGTTCATATGCATATATATATGCGTGAATCCAATGAAACACAACTTTCCTAATATGCAGCAACAAAATTCACAAATTCTGAACTACAACACCACCCAAAAAAAAAAAAAAAAATCAAAACTTTCTTCTGGGTATTGCAGTAACCAATTGTTAAAACAAAACCCTCTACTGGGTTGCTGACATTTCAATGTAACATTCAACTGTTTGTGTGTGTGTCTGTGAGTGAGTGAATCAATTGGGGATATTATTGAATTGGGTTACCATTAGGATCTGGTTCAGGTGAGCTGATCAAAGGGACATGAAGAGAAGGAGGGTAATATCGATCAGAAGAAGCAATAGCAGATCGAATTTCGTCGACACTGACTTCAGTTCCAGCCAAGGAAGCTGTTGGAATTATAGAACCAGCCTTTTCCACGTACTGATACGAACTCCATCTCTCGAAGCTCTGTTTCTCTTCCACTACATCGCTTTTCTCTGTCAATCAGAACCCAAATTTACAAATCAAAACATTGGGGAAAACCAAAATTGAAAGCCTATGAAACTGTAATTTTACCTGAGAGCAATGCCTCCTTCCTTGTAGTTTCTTGTTCCATATTTCTTCGAAGAGAAAGAGAGATTGAGATTCAATTATGCAATGAAATCGTCATAAAAGAGTGTGTATATACTTAGTGGAGTTTGTAAGCCACTTCTGCGAACCAAATTTCATGCCAAAAGTGACTTCAATTACCCAGTTTTAAGATAATCATTAACCATGCTCAAATCCATCGGGTATTCTTAAATTGCATCAGTTTTTTCACACCATGATATCTAATATTGCATAACATAAACAAAAATGCCAGATGAAACTTTTTTAAGTTTTGGTTGACCTAAAAATAAACTATAGAATTATAACGGTGCAAACCAACCAGTTTAATCTGGGTTAGGTAGTCTTCGATCTATAGAAGATTCTATCAAAATGTATCTCTAAGACAAATTAGACATTTTCAAACACCCTTCTCCCTTATTATATATATATATATATATCAGTTTCTTGGTCATTCCCATAATAAGTATGAAAAACCAAATATCCAAGGTAGGTATCATTCACAATTTAAAAGAAGATATCATAACAGATCAAGTACTGTGAGTGAATCTGCATTTTTTCCCTAAATAGTGAGTGAATATATCATAATTTAATATCTTATTTGATTCTGTCATAACATTGACATTACCAGCACTTAGAGCATTCAAGCACTGTTAATCAAACTCTCTATAGAAAAGGTAAGTGAATCTACATTTTCCCACCAAATAATGTATCATTCACAATTTGAAAGAAGATATCATAATAGGCCAAGTATTGTGAGTGAATCTACATCCCCCTCCCCAACAAATAGTGATTGAATCTATCGTAATTTAATATCTTATATAATTCTATCATAACATAGACATTACCAACAATTAGAGCATTCACGCACTGTTGATCAAATTCTCTATAGAAAAGTGTGGGGACATATTTTTGGGTAGTCCACGTAGCCGAGGTTGTTAGCCGAGGTGCCACATGGGCGGACCATGATGCCGAGATATGGTGCGATAATACCAGAATCTAAGATATTTGGATAGAGGACTAGAGTCCTAGATTGGGAGAGGACTTCAGTTTGGATAAAGATAAGACTCTTAGAGAGTTTGTTCCAATCCTACTGGGAGTCCAAGATTAGCAGTAATCCAGAGTCCATTGAAGCAAGGCTTCTATTGGGACTAGGTTTGTGTTGGCTATAAAAAGGAGGTACCCTCATGCGTCTAAGGTATGCTTTTTGTGCTCTGTCTAGTGAGTTAAACACTATTGGTTATCTTTGAGAGATATTTTACTGACTTGATCGTCGGAGTGTCCCCTGGTGGACAAACCACCGCGGGATTCTTATATTTTTGTGATAGGTTGTTCGGGCTTAATCTATTCTGCCAGTGCTCTCCAACTGAGTTTCCCATTTTGGTTGTGTGGTCGGAAATCAACACTCACAATTTGGTGTCGTTTGTGGGAACTTAAAGAGAATAGATGGCCAACAACGAACAGGGAGAAAATATTGGGGACGACATCCCTAGTGGGGGTGGTAAACTTGCCAATCTACATGTGGAAGAAGAAATCGTAATGAAGGAGTACGGG